GGTTGGAATTTCAAACCCCGTACCCCTGAGATACACGGTCGACGGTCATCATCTTATGCGGATGGTTCAATCAGTTTTAGAGTAGCAAGCTTGGATTAGCCCACTTTGAGTATGAATCAATGAAAACCAAGACACAGTATATATTCAGAAATGAGCCGCAGAAGTCCGCATATACCCGTTGCCATGGTGTATAACTTTCTGGCCATGGACTCCAATTTTTCGAACTCATCTTCGTTTTGTGCATACACACTTCGCAATTATTTGCAGTTGTTCAAATATCGGCATATAAATCAGACTACCGACACATTTGTTGAGCCAGAGAGTTCATCTTCTTTACTCCCAAATAACCTTTGTGGAGGTCCTCTAAAATTTTAGTCGGTGAATGCTTGGATTAACCCATTCGTTTTTTGACATGCACTGTTGATGATCATGAGTGTGGATTTCACTCCTTGGGAGATCGATAATTCCTCCACATTCATCGTCTAAATTGATTGAGCCACTCGCACAAGGTGATGATCATCGACCGCGTAGCTCAGGGGTGAAGGTGGGAAGTCCCAACCCGAAGACTGGCGGTTCGAGTCATGACACGGGGACACGAAAAGGACGCACTGCAGACGAGTCCCAAAGGGAACAGTAAAAATATCAGTCTAACCGTTCTTGTCCGATGGTCGCAGTACCTTGATGATAGGCTCACGGCAAACAGCCACCTGAGTGATTCACAACAAAACGCAAGATGACGAGGAATGGAACACAAAAGAAATGTGTTTCAGTCATGACCGAAGAAGTTTACCACACTTATCGGTATACTTCTATCTTTCCTCCCTTTACCATTGAGTCAAAGATACCTCTTGATGTCGGCAGAGCACTTCAGAAACTTGATATGCCATCCCGCGCTCCCATGACCCTTCCTGTGCAATTCGAAAATTTCGATCAAACTATAGTTTGTCTCAAAGATCTATACTTGCTTCGTGTCTCGCCTTGTATAAGGACTCCGTAGGATTGCAAGCAAACCGGCCCAGCTCACAAATTCAGGCGTTCATCCTAATAGGTGATAATGAAACCTAGGTGTCTCAGATATACCGGTCCGCAAATAAAGTCAGATGGCAAACAAGCTCGTTTTCGATGCATCATTTACGAGCACCAAAAACAAGCTTCCTTGCCAAATTCACTTCTCGATGCAGTTCACGGGTATTTTCCAGTAAAGTCAAACCTTCAAGTTATATGAATCATTCAATATCCTAACTGATAACTATAAACAGTCATTTGGAGGTTACAAAGACAGACACCCCCCCCCCGTAAGGTAAAATATCAGCTCCCAATTCAACAACGTTTTATACCAAGTTACGACCACCGAACCTTTGCAGTATCCATTCAAAACAAACAAGCCACCCATTGATCAGTAAATCATATTATTGCCTCAAGTTCACTAACCTTACTGACCCTCAAAATCACGCTGGTGATGACTTTTTGTATCCCGTTTTGAGATACTACTTTATGGTTTTTCTAAGTGTATCTCTCAGGCTCTTAAATATGCCTCTGTTTTCTTCTGTTCATAAAGTTCAAAATGTTTTCGATCGAACTGAGATCCGACTGGTAGATCAAACGAGGGAGAAAAAGGAATAATTTCTTGGTGCAATTTACCCTGGTATACAATTCCGGAGCAACATAGTCCGGTTTTATCATCTAGGAGGATCCATATTCTCAGTTGCTTAGATCCGCGCAGTAACTGTGTTTTGGTTACCCATCCAACTATTAGAAGCCAATTCATTTCGTCGCCACCGTACTGTCGTAGATAAATTCGCTCCAAACTAAGTTCCTAGATTCGAACCTTGTCATGATCACCCACATCGCTGGTAGCTTGCTTGACTACAGTCCGATTACAGAATCCTGTTCTATGGTGAGGCTTTATGCCCTCCCACTCTCCATCACGACTGCGCAAATTCTGTCAGTTGATTCCAGTCCTCCATCTGAAGTGGTTTTCCGGGGAATAAGCTATCTCAAAAGGTATACGGCCATCGACCCAGACGAGCTGTCCCCATCCGTTTTTAAGGATGGAGAGTTAACATTGGTTTCGGAGTGAACGAAACTCCTGGGCTCGGTGTGGGAGAGGAATCAAGTTCCAGCTGAATGGTGCGAATCGATCGTCATACCGATTTACAGGAAAGATGACAGATCCTCTTGTGAAAACCACAAAGGAATTAGTTTAATCAACATTGCTTCTAAACCTCTCGCTGGTATCATACTCAATCGATTGTCTGCGCACGTGAACAGTACAAGCGTGAGAATCATGCTGGTTTCAGACCTGGTCGAGGTTGCATCGACCACATCTTCACTCTTCGCCAAACTCTGGAGCACCGATATTCTTTTCGTAGACCCACCATTACTATCTTCCTCGATCTGAAAACGGCTTCCGACTCAGTCGACCGCTCTAAACTCTGGCACTGCCTTTCCCTGAAAGGTGTGCCCGAGAAGTTGATTTCAATATTAAGATCGCTTTATACTAACAGCCGAAGTCGAGTCCGAGCTTACGGCACTTTTTCACCCGAGTTCACCATGGAAAGTAGTGTTCGTCAGGATTTCCCTCTCTCTCCTTTTTCATTCAACTTTTTTATGGATTTGATTATGGAAACAGCCCTATCGTCGTGCGAGGATAGTGGCATCGATTTACTCCCAGGTGGCAGACTGATCAGACGACATTGTGCTACTGAGTGAAGATCCAGATAAGTTGCAAGCTTTTCTGGCGTACTGGTGTAGTCGTGTTCGTTATGCGTTTTGCACCTTCAAAGTGTAAAATGTTACTACAAGATTGGGTTGATCTAGCCTCCGATCTCATCCTGACTGGGGAAGTAGTAGCGAAAGTGGACAAGTTTTGCTATTGGGGCATATATACCTCACCTTGCGGACGCATCACAGATGAAGCGTCGGCGCATACAAAAGGCTCGGTGGGCATTTGCAAACTTAAGACATCTGTGGCGTCGTCGCGGCATCCGGCTGTCCGTGAAGGGTCCAGTGTATGCTGTAGCAGTTCGGCCAGTTCTGCTATATGGAGCAGAAACTTGGCCATTAGAGAAACAGGACAAAGATAGACTGTCGGTGTTTGAACATCGCTGTCTACGCAGCATTGCACGAATCTGGTGCGGTAACCAGACTAGCAATGCCACGGTTAGGCATAGAGTTTTAGGCAGTCGCGGTCGTCCACTGGAGCAAGTGATCGACCTTCATAGATTACGTTGGTTGGGGTATGTTTTACGCATGTCACCAGATAGGTTGCCTTTGCGAATGATGTTTGCCGAGACAGGAAGTGGGTGGAAGAAAGCCAAGGGTAGTCAAGCTAAGACCTGGCGTGAGGGTGTGAAAACCCTAACAAGGGGACTGGGTCATGTAGGTCAAGTTAGGCTCTCAGGATGGGGATCTCGGGATGGTCGCAACCGATGGTTGAGACAGTGAATGATATGGCAGGGTGTCGTAAACAGTGGCGTTCGTGCATCTTCTCAATTTCTTTGTATCATTATTCCAATGAACTTATCAATTTTCTCTTCGATCCTACTTTCTACCTTTCCTGTTTTTCTCCTAACTTTCATCCAAATCGGCAGCCGAAAGATAGCAACCAAAACCGGCCCACGAAAGTGCACAGTTAATGTTTGTACGGACTGAACTGAACTTCATGCAGTTCATCAATCCAAGTTCCCAGGGCTCAGACTGCGGGCTAGCATGTGTGAACAATAGGTCCTGATGAGTGTGAATTGCACTAATGTTTTAGTGTTCATTACACAATTAAATTAAATATGAAATAACCATGATCACATGCCATAATTAAACCTTGCCTTTATATGAACAAACAGAAAATAGAACCGAAAACCGATGCCGTAATTCATCCAAGGAAATAGCAATTCATCTTTATGGGCGAATACTTTTATGAATAGTTCCTTTTCATTTGAACAAAGAACACAATGCACTGCAAACGAGCACGATTTAATTCCGGAATCATTTGGCTGCAACTTAGTTGGTGCTTACCGCAGCATGGGCAGAACGAGAACAGATCCGATTGAGGGTTACACAAACCACCAGTCCATCAAGCCTGGTCTCACATAACACCTGCATCATCAATTGCTTGCCATCTACTGAAGACTGGCCATCAGACTGTGCGTGGGACTTATTTTCGGATGATTTACACAATCTCGAAGATTTGCAGAGGTTATAGCAATCAAACACTGAAAGCCCCTGGTGTGTCAGCAACAGGAGGTTTACGTCGGTCCGGCATTACCCTGGTAATCACGTAGGCAGAAGAATGAATTTATACCATGTTAGATTATCAACACTAGTGTTATACAAACTATTGTACATCCTGCAGTGTAAGCAGAAGTTAAGATGCAGCAAAATGATTCCGGAATTAAATTGTGTTCGTTTGCAGTGCTTTGTGTCCTATTTATTTTTTCGTAAAAGTAGGCAATTTCAATTAGCCAGATGAAAGCGATAATCGCAGAAATTTCTACAAATATCTCCATAGATTTCAAATGCACTTCCTGATTCTCGAGTGTCCATAAAATTAACTTGAATTGTAATTCCCTTTGTGTGTTCAGTTATTATTTTATCGCCCAAGCATTCTGTGCTGTTTTATTACCCGTAAAATGATTATGTGATTCCATACTGATTTGCACTGATCAGTGCCCTTCATCTCCCCTCCCCCCTTCCTCATCCCCATCCCCACCCCATCATTTCACACGTCCCCCTTCTGGAGAGAAAATATTTGAAACCGCTTTCCCGGACTCTCATAGGCTCACAGAATGCTATTGGAGCCGGGCAGGGGAAAGACGAATCAATTCTCCTACCCCTTCATGAGATTCTGATTGGTTGATGTTTAAGCGGCCGCCTTATCCCCTATTAACCAATCAGAATTTAGGGACGATGGTTAAAACTGGGCATTGATGTGCGTGCCCTATACACGATATTTGGACCGCGTCGAGTCACCGTGTATTTANTTACGGATCTGTTTTCCCCACATGGAACCTAAAATGCAACCTCGATGTTCTCGCGCCATAACAAATTCCCGTGTTCTAGTCAAGACTAAAGGAATTCGGTCACGAAAACTACGCTGGATCGAATGCGCGCGTTTGAAAGAGATCGTTCCATCTGTGGCCAAATCCAAACGTGTCAATGAGGTAAGTTGTCCAGTCCACTGCATTAACATAAATGTACGTCGATTTTTACCGAATTCGTAGAGGTAGTTAAATTCAGCTGATTCCGGTATCTTGTTTGCCAATAACCACTCATTACTCATCCCTGGGTGACTTTGGATAGAATAGTTGGCAGTAGCTGAAGAAGAAACGTATTTAGGTGGTAGGGTAATCGAGACAAGCTATTTTTAATTTAACATTAGTGTGGATTTCCCATGTTCTCGTATTCATTTGAAAAGGAATAAAGTAAAAACCCACCTTATCCATTGCTTCTTTTTCATTGACTGTGGTTAGCTTCATTGTATTCGTTACCCAATAGACAACTGCGAAATGTGCCTGGGTTAGCCCTGGCGTTAACGGATAAGTTGTACTGAAATTTGTTCCGAGCGGGGAGAGGGGGGGGAGGGGAAGGAAATAATCAAATTGGGATTCGAACATGCGATTGATAAAATAGAGCCCAGCGCCTTGCTTTCTTTTGGCTGCATTTTTACGTAACTAAAAGGATCTCAATCTCGTTTAGACTTGTTACAGCCCCTAATTAAAGAGTTTTGTTATAGATGGATGAAAAGGAAAGTGGTGGTGGTGGTGGTGGTGGTGGTGGTAATGGGTTAACAAACCTACATTCTCTACGTGATGCGGTGCATGAAAAACAGTTCATCGATAAATAGTCACAAATAAGGATTACTGAAACACAGGGTTTTTAATATATTTTGTATTCTATCAATGATGGCTGTAGTATGCATACCATGACAGTACGTGCAGTGCCAACTCCATTGGTTAACAAACCTTTCTCTTTTTTATTTAAAAATAGCCAAAATGCGATTGGTTTAATGCATCTCACTGGTTGATCACATTCCATCGATGCACATCGATTTAGGTTTGTGTGTGTGTGTGTGTGTGTGTCTGCGTGCGCTAGAGAGGGGGAGGGAGGGTAAGAAGAGTGAAGCTATTGATCAACAAACTTTATCTTGTTTGTTAACGCCAAGTGTCATTCATTCATTGTCTTTCTTTCAGGTTAAGATAATCAAAGAGGCGATAAAGCACATTAGTCGATTGGAAGAAGCCGTACTGCAGCGTCTTGGAACTTCTCTTCCCGGCAACGGAACACCAGGTCAGTATGTTACTCCCTTATGAGTTCGCATGTTATAAAAGAGGACAAATGTGTGAAAGCGCCAGTTGGTTTGGAGTTATGAAATTTAGAGCTAACAGGCTATTATCATACTCTAATCGAAAAGCATCTGCAATGAAAGCCTCACACTATCCAACATGTCTATATCTATCGAACACTAGGTTATGATGCATTTTTTCGAACAGCCCTGTACAGTGAAAAGTGCCGCCTAGCTTTTCAGATCAGATTTGCCATCTATAGCATGAAATACATCATAAAATCGCGTCAAATCATTAAAATCATCCTGTCGCACTAGGTGAAAGTGTTAATATCCTTGATGATCGCCATTAACGAGCACGAGCATACAGATAACTGGAGCTGAGCTAAGGAAATCAACATTAGCATATGACGAGCATAGGACGATGTTTGAGGCGAGGCCATAGCAGGAAGAAAAGGGGATGATGGCGCAATGGAGAACGGGTTGTATTGTAAACTGAGTCGAATCACGGTCAATCATTTAAAAAAAGGTTCATCAACCTTTTGATTGACACTTCGAGCAACAGGATATTTTCCATGTTGCTGCTACATGACCCTTGATGGCCACGGTACCTGACTTTCCCAGCAGATCAGATCCCCCAGAGGGTGAATGATACGGTAGCATTTTTATGTATATAGTCACAAACGTGTAGCCAGCTTAGAAAGAAGTAGATCAACCGTATGTGATCACTTACAGATTTGAGGATCTTTCCCCGGTTTTACTGATTTTGCAATATCTAATTGGAAGAATAAAATTATGATCTATTTGCTTGTATCTACTCTGACTCCGTTGATTTATTGATATGTTTCAGTCGGTGATTGTATCAATCAATTTTGATTCTGTTTAAAAATAAATCCGTCATCATATTTTTTTTAAACATTTCCAGATATTAACGGGAAAAGCATAATGGATCTCCTACCGCGTCATATCTTCCTCACAATTGCGGCCCAGGCCAACGTCCAATTACCAAACCTAAGCACAGATCTGGTTTCGTCACGGACGTCAACAGATCTGTTACCAGCAACCAGGACAAATCGTGATTGCCCTCCGATCCCCGATTCAACTGGCAATTCGCCTTGTTGGACTGACGAGGACAGTCGAGTGGAATGGGACATGACAGAATCCTGATCCATTTTCTCCGGGATGCTGGAGGCCACTACACTGATTGTCTTTCTAATCCATGGTATTCTGATCTTTTATTTTGATTACCAACTGCTCCTGCTGCTGTTGATTCATTCTCAGCTGACCCTGACCTAGTCAACCATTTGGCGCCCAATCTATGCCCGGATGAGTGTACAGTACCTTATGCTGTGTATCTATGATAATCATGCACTATTTTCGAGCACACTCCGTTTTCCTAATTGAAAACAAAGAACTCTGAGAATTGCGTTGTTGGAGGAAATTAACCGCAACTCAACGATGATGAGCTAGGAGCAGGCAAAACAGGATAGTTTTCCCAAAAGGTCGTTTGTCAGATCGGTTCGAAGGTGAGGTCGGATGAGCGAAAGCTGACTTGCTATCCGTGAATACCGGTGGAAGCATCCCAAATAGTATAATCGTGGTCTTGTAGCATTACTGTGGTAGGCCAACATGAGATACGGCAAATATAAGTAGGAGAATGTTGGAAATCCATGCGGTTTATTCATTTTATTTTTTGAAAAATTTATTTTGATTAAGTAGCGTATGACTGGAGCAGTATCATTGGACAGCATTTGATAAACGTGCTAAGTAGTATCTGATAATTGTCAGTGAACTGATAGCCCGTTGGAACACACGTTGCACGTTGCACGAGTTTGGCAGAGCAACCGAACAAGCAATGCTGAAATTAAGCGTGGAGGTATAGGTAACCGTGGTCTCCCACTGGGGCAAATGATTTACCTCATGAGCATGTATACGCGCGTCACCAAAAAGGCATGGCCAAACTTGCTGACCCGCAATGCAAAGTGCACATAAAGAAACCAGGCGAAATAGGGATTCACAGCACTTGTAGGTAGAACAGTTGAGGGCGCATAACCGATAGTCTAATAAGAGGTAAATAAAAGGTTCTGCTACAACAGCGGAAATTCACGATTGAAAAATCCAGATGTATCACGGATACATGGAGAACACTGCACACAGACACACACACACACATCAACCTCATAAATGAAAGAAATGTGTGGACCTAATTCACCTTATTAATAGCTATGATATGGGGGGGGATGAAGTCGGTATTGAGGAAACTTAATAATGATGGTTGGTAGAATCAAAATAGCGGTTCACGTTGTTGATGTTTGTGGCCATGAGTGTGGGATTGGCTGAGGTACACTCAAGTCATTTCGTATAATGGATGACTCGTGCCTCAAGTGACTGATCAACCTTGTCCATTTCGTGAATGACGACTAGCCAGTGAGGTTTCGATGTACACTTGTTTCGTATTTGCCCCGCATGATTAAAAGTAGACCGTTCTCTCTGAACATGGATAAATAAGCCGGGTTTTTTTCGATACAACGCTACTTACGTACCTACTATCTGAATAAATTCTATTCATGCGACCTCGCAGCTCAGCTGGTATGGCGTACGTCATTCGAATGGGTAGAGAGTAGTCATGTGCGCTTTTCAATCCCATCGGTACTGCTCATCTTTCCTTAATTTGAACTAGCAAAAGTCAGTCAATTGTCTGCTGTCTGACGACCAAAATCCACAAGAACCGGAATCTCTCGTTGACCTTCATTTACATGTACTGCAGTTATAGAATTCAAACCGAACATTTTGTGACACTCGGAACACTGGTAGACCAGTAATCGCAATGGCAGCAGCACTGGCAATCGGCTACCGTCTACTAGATCAGTAATGTAAGAACAATGCGCACCTTGAAGGCGAACGGATCATGAAAACAAAAACACTACCAAAATCACACGAATGAAATTTTGATTCGTATAACCCACAATAAGACATGCATCATATTCGTGTTGAAAGGTTGGATCAGATTCAGTGTTTCGAGACGAAGTGTGATAAAAAGTTCTCAAAGCTGTTTAATGAATTAAGTACAAAAGGGGAAACGTAAATTGCTCCCTTACTGGTGCATAAAAAACAGTTTTCCACGAAACGAGACTCTTGTAGCATAAACAAACAAATGAGAAGATGTTTATCTCGGCGACGAAATTGTTTAATTCGGTAGAACCGTATGCCTGAAATTGCTAGCAGTACGATATAAGATAATAAACCAGAATTTCCAGTCAAATAGACAATAACACAAGAGCTGGATAATGGTTTAGGGAGCTCCATCAAAGGAAGCTGGTGACAAGAATCCGTTGAGTANGAGTAAATTATTTAACCGCTTTTGTTCCCGCTGCGAACCAGCAGATTCACGCAGATTCACGAGCGTCATCTTACTAAATGGTAATGCTGTTGTCCATCATTGACAAACTACAAACTGTTGGTTGCCATTCCGTAAGATCCGGCCTGTATAGTAGCCAGTTTGCAACCCGGGCCTAAATACTATTTGGGACTCTTGTGCCATTCTTGTTCATCAGCTATGCAAGGGTTCGGTGGCTTGATAGTCGGACAATAAATGTATAACCACCCTTAACCGAGACTAGAATAGTATTGATCGATGGTTAATCACGCGTCTTGTAAGAAGCAAGCAGAGAGGATGTATCGGGGTCCGTTTTAATATGCTCTAATTGGTGTAATTAGTCATTCTTGGGTTTATTATGCCTCGGTACACCATGCATTCTGTCGTTCTGACCAGATGCGACTTTAGTGGGGGGAAAGACAGAAGGGGAGCTGTGCGCCAAAAAGAGGAAGCTCTAGGGTTTTGTTGCCCAACAGATCTACCTTCCCGTCGGTTTTACTGGGCGGAATTTCGGTGTTCTTGTCGCACACCTAAAAGGTCATTAATGTGTCTCGTTCGTCAACTCTGTCAAATGACCGGGGGTAGGTTTACTTAGGAGGTTTGTAGTGATCTGAACTTGATAGAAGATACTTAATTTCGACTAGGATAAACTTCTTGAGTCCAAATGTGCATAAGTAAAATTTCACAATGCTAAAATAAACTATCTCGCCAGCAGGCCTAGATTCTGTCTCGTCTCGACAACTGTGCTGCACCGCTTCAAGCGGTTATTTTATCAGCGTCGCTGGAACTTGGCAACGTTTCATCATGAGATTGGGAGATCCGTTCTGATCGAGACTTTCAACCCCTCCCCCCTCCCTCATCCAACCATCTGTCATGGCAACCGTTTTGGAGTATAGTGTCCACCGAGATCTGTCCTAAGGGAAATCATCAAAGGGTCACGCATGATTCCTGTGCAGGTCGAAACTGCCAACTACTGTTACCAATATGGAAAAATCTATTGGATGGTGATCATCGCTGATTAAGAAAAGCCATTTACACGTCCTGGATGCGAATGTCCACATTCCCACATTTTCACATATGCTATACCGTGGTTACTCTTGTGGTTTGTTTGTACCAGCGAGTGTGCTTGTGTGTGTGTGGGAGGGGGAGGGGGCTGGACGAAAAGTCTGCGCAGGTGTAAATTGAATTTATTGGTAGACGAATTCACCTATACGCTTGACATGCACAACGGGGCCATTGTGGAATCGAGTTATCGCCCAGTTTTCCAACCCGTACGGCACTCTATCCCCGCAATTCGGAGGCGTGTCAGATGGGCATGTAGGTTTTGTTTATGGGTTCACGCGTGCACCGAGGCGGATGGTGATGATATCCGAGGGCGGGGCGGGGGTAATAAAAATGAACGAGCGAACAACATTCTTCCAGGGGTGGGGTGAAAGGCAGGTGTTGGGTTTGTGTGGGAATCATATTACCCGCAGCACACCACTACTGTGTCCGGACGTCTGTTCACTCATACTACCTACCATCTTGAATGGACTTAGCAACTAAGGTCATAGCATTATAAGAAGAAGAAAGTCGAGTGTTGGACAAAGTAGGAGCCAGTACGTGTGCGTAGCTCTGGTGATTGTCCTGATCATCTACCCCGATTCTGATCCAGCAAGTTTAGCGGTCATTTGTTCAAAATACGGGGACATTATCCAGTATTTTGTACACTGTGTTAAAAGAACCCATTAAGGACGTGTTGTTAACCATTTTTGAATAACAATTTGAGGAGAACCATTAGGTACACGCTCGGAATAAATGGAGCTTCTCCCTGTCTGTCGGTGTCTAACATGGTCACAACGGAATCGAAGTTGGTGTAACTCTGTGGTACGCAGTGAACCACTGACCCCTTAGTCATGAATCATTGGTTGTGGTATTCTCACTTAAGCATTGAGAATAGTGTCGGTACTCGTCCATCAGAATGGCGATATTGTGACAGAAAAGAATCTCACGAACATAGGAGCTAGTTTACTGAGAGAGATGAAATGGGATAAATAACCTGTGCGGGCAAAGATTATTGGTTCCAATTATTATGTCCAATCAGTGTTCACATTCGTATTGGCACAATACTACTCTTCATTGCACCACAATCAAACCCGATCGCTTGCTTCTTGCTGACCGTCAGCAACCTGTATGGAGTCGTTTCTTGGTTGATGCCATCTCGCAGGGTTAGGGTGCCACAATTTTCGAGTTCGAAGAGAACTGTCTTGATTTCTCACGTATTACATTGAATTCTATGAAGTTTTATTGTATCGTTGAAATTTACCACATTAAAATGTCCACGATTGGAAAGCACTCATTGAACTATGTACACACCATCACTCTGCCGGGTTCTCATCGCAACCAGATTGTTCACTTGTTTCCCTTACCGGTTGTACATATCAAATATGGCTGTGAGCATCTCGAATCACCTAGCTAAAAGCATTTCATTTAGCCAGTATTGCATTTAACGTCAGTATATGTAAAACTGCAGTTCTTGCTTTACTTGAAGTTACGGTCCAAAGCTCACCTAAATTAACTCTGTGAGTCCATTGACGAAATTCAATTTCATTGATGAAGTCTGAAACCGACAAAAGCATACCATCATCTCTGGACAGTGGTTATTTGACGTACTATTTGATCGTTGTTAGACGACATTGTTAGCAGAACATGAATTGAGGGAGAGACAGGGAGAGGTCTGTTATTATAATCAGTCTCTGTCATTGTAATCCCCTTTGATTGAGTGTCAACATCCCCTCCTTTCCGTTTCTAC